CGGGTGTCGGCGGAACCTCCGCGATGCGGGGCGCGGGCTCCGCAGACAATCTGAACTAGGCCCCAGGCCCGGGCTCCCGGCCTGCGCGAAGGAGAAGGTGCCCTCTGCGTAGCCAGGTTCGGCGTCAGTAGCAGATTCCTGGTGTCGGGTGGCGCCCGGCGTTCGGGTGTCTATATATGGAAACCGCACCCTGAGTCGCTCTGGAGCAAGCCAGCTCCTGCGCCTGGGACACCACTGGAGCTCCACTCCAGGCCTCCTGGGCCGGCCTCACCTTTTGATTTTCAACATTCCAGGCACCTTCTTGTCCTCACCCACCTTGCAAAGTTGAAAAGTTACTCATGATTACTGTGTCCCCATCCAGTGTGCTGGGATGGACATCCGCATGACTTCATTCATCCTTATCTCCGCAAGAGAAAAATCATTACCATCCACTTTACAGATGAAGAAACTTAAGTTTTGAGACATTAAGAAACAATTTTCAGAATTAACTCAGACCGCTGCACTCCCCCAATCTTTTTCTCCTCTGCCTGGTCCCTGAAGGATGTATAATCATTGCCCCGTCTATTCTGTTTATCTCCCCCTGCCCAGAAGGCAAGGGCTTCTCAGTGTAGAATAGCTCAGCTTGAGAGTCAAAATTAGCAGCCAGAAAAAGACCCCAACAAATTGGTCACAACAGCAACGCATCACTCAGTAATTAATTACTTGGACAATCTACTTGAAAATTTTCAGGCTGATGCTCAGTGGATTTATTGTGTTTCGTGTTGTAACATCTACTACCCTGAGATCCTCACCTGCAAGGAGACTGGAGTGACACTGAGGAATTATCCTCTTTCTGTTCACCATGTCTATTAATTCAGGAGCCCTTTGGGGCAGGGATCTTTATTTCTATCTTTCAGTGAACTCCTAGGAAAAAATTGAATGAATAAGTGATTATCTTTACACAGTTTATTTCGTTGAACATTTTTCCTCAAATGCCGTAAGGCAGATTGGATTTTTTGGGCTGGTTGTCCAAGTAACAACCTATTTATATTTCTTCACTGATTTCCTGATACTTTTTTCAAAGGAAATTGAGGTTTTCTCCTGCCTCTCCTGAGGGGAAAGGAGTGAAAAAAGGGGATTGAGGAAATGCAGTCCTTTCTCTCCTGTCCTCTTCCCGTCTCTACCTTGTCTATCCTCTGTTACCCACCCCTGCCTCTTCCCCCAGGTCCAGCATGCCAGCAAACAGATCAGTGTTGAGAAACAGTACAAAGGGATCATTGATTGCGTGGTGAGAATCCCCAAGGAGCAGGGCTTTCTTTCCTTCTGGAGGGGTAACCTGGCCAACGTGATCCGTTACTTCCCCACCCAAGCTCTCAACTTCGCCTTCAAGGACAAGTACAAGCAGATCTTCCTGGGGGGTGTGGATCGGCATAAGCAGTTCTGGCGCTACTTTGCTGGTAACCTGGCTTCCGGTGGGGCAGCTGGGGCCACGTCTCTCTGCTTTGTCTACCCGCTGGACTTTGCTAGGACCAGATTGGCTGCCGATGTGGGCAAGAGCGCAGACCAGCGTGAGTTCACTGGTCTAGGCAACTGTATCACCAAGATCTTCAAATCTGATGGCCTGAAGGGTCTCTACCAGGGTTTCAACGTCTCAGTCCAGGGCATCATTATCTACAGGGCTGCCTACTTCGGAGTCTATGACACTGCCAAGGGTGAGAGAGGGGGCAACCAGGGGCAGCGGGTGAGGAGGAAGAGGAGGGTGTGTGGAAAGAGGATCCAATGGGACCTATAACTCACAAAGGACTTTACATTGATTAATCGTGTTCTTTTCTAGTCTCTGGGCTAAACTGAGGCTTCTGAATGAGGTGATGTGGTAGGGATAAATTATGAGCCAAAGGATTCTCCATAACCTCTACTGAAATAAACTCTGGGCTTGAGTAAATCAGAGAGGAAGAAGGGGAGCCTAACTCCCTCCTGCCACAGCTTGAATCAGTTAACTGGAGCAACTTCACCTTCAACATGCAGGATTCTGACTTCCATGAGTCCACAGAAGGCAGCAGCCAACTTTTGCTGGCTGCAGGGTCATCTGTGAAGAATCCTTACAAGGGGTGATTCTTCCAGAAGGGTGAACATAGGGTTAGAGATGCAATAGCCTCCTCCCCTTCACCTGCTTTTGACCAAGCTGCTGAGAGCAGTCACCTCATGGCCACTTCTTGGCTCTGCCCACAGGGATGTTACCGGACCCCAAGAACGTGCACATTATTGTGAGCTGGATGATTGCCCAGACTGTGACAGCGGTGGCAGGGCTGGTGTCCTACCCCTTTGACACTGTTCGTCGTAGGATGATGATGCAGTCTGGCCGAAAAGGGGGTAAGCATAGGCTCTACTGATTTCAAATTATATTTTGCCCAAAGAGAATACTATTAAGCTTTCTCTCAGTTTTCATTATCCTAAATTAATTGGCAAAAGTATGTGATAAGAACTTAGGGGAAAGACTGATTACTCCAACAGTCTCGATTCCTTTAGAGAAAATATTTGTTTTCACTAGAGATAATATAAAAAATGAGACATTTAAAAGTCTACCCTAACTAGGACACTTAGACCTTCTTTTCTTAGAGCCCAAGTGCAGAAACAAGGGAAAAGAAATAATCAGCTAATTTATTTAGAAAGAATTCTTGCTTCCCTTGTTTCAAATATAGTGAGAGGCTGTTTTAGCTGGGTGACAGCAATCTGCTTTGATAGAAACATTTTTGCTTCATAGTTGAAATATATGAAATTGTCATTGTTAAAGCAAAATAAAAATGTTAGCAGTCTAGTGTGGTTCAAGTTAATAGTTTTAGCCCTTAATTGTACGTATAATCTTGGGTAGTATAATGTGAGACTAACCCCTGTTCTCTCCTCCACAAAAAAGGCAACCATGCAGTGTAATACTCCTGCTTTAGTTTGACAGCATGTGAATTGGTTGGTTAATTGCCCAGGTTCTTCATTGATCTTGGGAGGAGTAGAATAATGGGAGCCCAGCCTAACAGTTATACAAAGGAGGAGAATATCCAGTGGAATGTTGCATAGGGCTGGGGCTTAATGGCCAAGTGACCTTGGGTATCTTTCAAAGGGAAAGTCTCTTCCCTCCAGATTTATGGACCCCTGACCCACATTTGTCTCCACAGCTGATATTATGTACACGGGGACAATTGACTGCTGGAGGAAGATCGCAAAAGACGAAGGAGCCAATGCTTTCTTCAAAGGTGCCTGGTCCAATGTATTGAGAGGCATGGGTGGTGCTTTTGTATTGGTATTGTATGATGAAATCAAAAAATATGTCTAATGTAATTAAAACTCAAGTTCTCACAATGAACTTGGTCTACAATTTCACAGATCCATTGTGTGGTTTAATAGACTATTCCTGCAGAAATAGAAAACCAGATCTGGGATAAAACCAGACCAAAAGGAATACCTCAGGAAAAAAAAAAAAAAAAAAAGCTTCATCAAGTGTTCATTAAACCACAAATGTATTTTGTATTTATTTTACATTTAAATTTCCTCAGCAAATAGAAAATAACTTATAATACTTGTACAATTAACTGAAGAACTGATAATGAATAATTGAGAAT